CCACTGAGTCCCCTCAGGTAGCTGCGTCCGCGTCTGCGTCTGCGTCAGGTCAGCTGTCCGCCCCCTACTCGTGTCGCTCTCTGGCACATGAGACTGTCCTCTGGCACCACCGCCTTGGTCACCCGTCTGTGCAGCGCCTTCGGACCATGCACAAACGGGACCTTGTTGCTGGTCTTCCCAGGGTTCTCCCTCCCCTCCCACCCTCGCCTGCTCCTCCCTGTCTTCCCTGTGTCGAGGGGCAGCAGCGCGCCGCTCCTCACTCCTCCTCCTTTCCCCCGACGACTGCTCCTTTGCAGACGCTCCACATGGACGTGTGGGGCCCAGCCCGCGTCCGTGGTCAGGGTCAGGAGAGGTACTTCCTGATTGTTGTTGATGACTTCTCGCGCTACACCACGGTCTTCCCCTTGCGCACCAAGGGTGACGTCCCTGATGTCTTGATCCCTTGGATCCGCAGATCTCGTCTCCAGCTCAGTGAGCGTTTCCGCTCCGACTTCCCTGTCCTGCGTCTGCACTCTGACAGAGGTGGGGAGTTTTCCTCTGGCCTCTTGGAGGCCTTCTGTCAGCAGGAGGGCATTGAGCAGTCGTTCACGCTTCCAGCCTCTCCACAGCAGAATGGGGTTGCTGAGCGCCGCATTGGCTTGGTCATGGAGGTCGCTCGTACCTCCTTGGTTCATGCGGCTGCCCCCCACTTTCTGTGGCCGTTTGCAGTCCGATACGCTGCGCATCAGCTCAACCTCTGGCCCCGAGTCTCCCTCCCGGAGACTTCTCCGACACTGCGTTGGACGGGAGAGGCTGGCGATGCGTCGCGTTTTCGGGTCTGGGGATCCCGAGCTTTTGTCCGCGACACGTCCGCGGACAAGCTCTCCCGTCGCGCTGTCCCCTGTGTCTTCCTTGGCTTTGTCCCGGACGCCCCTGGTTGGCAGTTCTACCACGCCACCTCGCGTCGTGTCCTGGCCTCTCAGGATGTCACTTTTGACGAGTCCGTCCCCTACTACCGCCTCTTCCCCTACCGCACTGCCCCACTCCCCCCCCCGCCTCTCTTCCTGGCTCCAGGTGCTGAGGTACCAGACCCCCTCCCCCCTCAGGGTGCCGCTCCCTCAGGTGTGTCCCAGGTAGACCCGGGTGAGCCTGTCGAGGTAGCTGTTGACTCTCGTCCTGCTGGGGGTGCTGAGCCTGCCCGTGCGGAGCCTGGGGGTGCTGAGCCTAGGGGTGCTGAGCCTGGGGGTGCTGCGTCTGGGGGTGCTGAGCCTGGGAGTGCTGAGTCTGGAGGTGCGGAGCCTGGGGGTGCTGAGCCTGGGGGTAGTGAGCCTGAGGGTGCTGAGTCTGCGGGTGCGGAGCCTGGGGGTGCTGAGTCTGGGGGTACTACACCTGGAGGAGCCCTCTCCTCACAGCGGCTGCAGGAGAGGTACCTACAGTACTGCCGCCTCCGGAGAGGTACTGCTGGAGCTGGTCGCGGTGCTTCCCCTCCTGCCCGGGAGCTCCCCCCCCTCCAGCAGATCCGAGAGTGGTACACGAGGCGCTGCAGTCTTCGGAGTGGTGCTCCTGGTGCTGCGGACTCGGACGTTGGAGCTGCTGCTGGTGCTGCGGACCCGAGCGGTGGCGCTGCTGCTTGTGCTGAGGACCCGGCTGGTGGAGTTCCTGCTGGTGCTGGGGATCCGCGCGGTGGAGCTGCTGCTGGTGCTGCGGACCCGGGCGGTGGAGCTGCTGCTGGTGCTGAGGACCCGAGCGGTGGAGCTGCTGCTGGTACTGAGGACCCGAGCGGTGGAGCTGCTGCTGGTGCTGAGGACCCGGGCGGTGGAGCTGCTGCTGGTGCTGAGGACCCGAGCGGTGGAGCTACTACTGGTACTGAGGACCCTGGCGCTGGTGTCTCTGCTGGCTCTGGCGACGCTGCGCGGCCGCGACCGTACTTCGTGCCGCTCCTTCAGCAGGTTCTTGGTCAGGCTCCTCCTCCTTGTCCTCCTCCCTCTGTAGAGTGTCCTCCGCCTGTCCAGTCGCAGTCACAGTTACCGCCTGCCTCGCCTCTCCCTGGTCCCTCTCCTTACACTGGTCCCACAGGAGGTCTTACGGAGCGTCGTGAGCCTGAGTCTCGTCCTGCGTCGCCTGTTCGTACTGCTCGCACTGGTCGTCGTGTCCCACGTGAGCGTCCTCCTCCTGTCCCTGGCACTCACTACATGACTCTGCGTCCCTCCACTGCTCCTCAGCGTGTCCCGCTGCCGTCTCCTCCTGCGTCCTCTCTGCCTACTCTTCCTGACCCGGAGTCTGACTCCCGTCGTGCTGCCAGTCCCACTGTCACCCGTCTTCTCGCCACTGTTGTCACTGACCCTACCTTTGAGTCCTCTGCTGCGTCTGCTCTGGTCGCTGAGTTGATAGACTTTGCTGCCCGGTGTCGTCTAGACTACGCCGCTAGCCTTGTTGCTGAGTCTGAGTCTGAGCCTGTCTGTCCTCCGTCCGTCGGGGGTGCGTGTGCTCTTGGCACGGACGTCCTTGAGGACAGACAGGAGGAGTTCCAGTGCTTTGCTGCTGCTTTGCCCCATCTCGTGTCCATGCTAGTTGCCCCTGAGAGAGACCCGGATGCACCAGACATCCCGACCCCGCGCACTTACGCTGAGGCGATGGCGGGTCCCTACTCCTCTCAGTGGCAGACAGCCATGGACGCAGAGATGGCTTCCTGGAAGTCCACAGGCACCTACGTCGACGAGGTTCCCCAACCTGGGGCGAACATCGTCAGTGGCATGTGGATTTTCGGGGTGAAGCGGCCGCCGGGTTCTCCTCCTGTCTTCAAGGCGCGCTACGTTGCTCGAGGCTTCAGTCAGCGAGAGGGAGTTGACTTCTTCCAGACCTTCTCCCCCACCCCGAAGATGACCACTCTTCGGGTGCTGCTGCACATAGCCGCTCAGCGCGACTACGAGCTTCACTCACTTGACTTCAGCACTGCTTTCTTGCAGGGCAGCCTGCACGAGGAGATCTGGCTGCACCGCCCTCCTGGCTTCACTGGGTTGGTTCCTCCTGGTACCCAGTGGAGGCTCCAGCGGCCGGTCTACGGTCTCCGCCAGGCACCGCGTGAGTGGCACGACATACTGAGGACGACACTTGCGGCTCTTGGGTTCGCTCCCTCTACTGCTGACCCGTCACTGTTTCTACGCACAGACACCTCGCTGCCGCCGTTCTACATCCTCGTGTACGTCGACGACTTGGTCTTTGCCACTGCTGACACCGCGGCACTCGCCCACGTGAAGTCGGAGCTGCAGAAGAGACACACGTGCACAGACCTGGGTGAACTGACAAGCTATCTTGGCTTGCGGATCACCCGGGACAGAGCACGGCGCACCATCACCTTGACTCAGTCACACATGGTGCAGCAGATCCTTCAGCGCTTCCGCTTCACGTACTCCTCGCCTCAGTCCACTCCTCTGCCTACCGGTCACTCGCTCTCAGCTCTGCCTTCGGATGAGTCCGTAGAGCCGAGTGGCCCGTATCCAGAGCTTGTGGGCTGCCTCATATACCTGATGACCTGCACTCGACCTGACCTGGCATACCCTCTTAGCATCCTTGCACGCTATGTCGCTCCTGGCCGTCACAGGAAGGAGCACATGGATGCCGCTAAGAGGGTGTTGCGCTACTTGTGCAGTACATCGGGCATGGGGCTAGTGCTTGGAGGGCGAGACCGAGTTGTGCTCACAGGACACTCAGACGCTTCTTGGGCGGACGACCAGGCTACTCAGCGGTCGTCTCAGGGTTACACCTTCAGCCTTGGCTCTGGTTCAGTTTCTTGGCGTTCCACACGCTCTTCTTCTGTTCTCAGCTCCAGTTGTGAGGCTGAGATCTACGCCACAGCCATGGCTGCCCAGGAGCTACGCTGGCTGACCTACCTGCTGACCGACCTGGGAGAGCGGCCTCGTTCTCCTCCAGTGCTGTACGTCGACAACAAGGCTGCCATTGCCTTGTGTGAGGAGCACAGACTGGAGCAAAGAACGAAGCACATTGCCCTGCGGTACTTCCTTGCTCGAGAGCTGCAGCAGCGCGGTCAGCTCTGTCTGCGTTACGTGGCCACTGAGGCCAACACTGCTGATGTGTTCACCAAGGCGCTTCAGCCTTGTAACCATCAGCGCTTTTGCACTCTACTAGGCCTTGTGCCTACTGGACCTCACTTGCTTACTTCTTGACCTTGTTTGTACTGTGATCTATATATATATATACCTGCATGTTTACTCTTGCTAGGTTGTGATCACTGTATCTCTTGCTCTGTTATAAACCTGCATGTGAACTGGTCTTGTGACCACTTGCTTGTGCTCGGAATTTGTGTGGAATCCTTGAGATCCACCCTGAGCTTGTTGTGTCTTGCTTTGCTTTGACTGGTCTTGTGACCCCTAGTTCTCCCCCACTTTGCCTATGGGGGTGTGTCGAACATTATATATGTTGTGCTTGTTAGGCTACAGTGGGTTAGCCTATATGGGGTACACAATTCTAGGGTTTGCTATTTGTACTGATTTCCCTGTTAGTTCAATCATTCCTGTCCGTTCATTCTGACACCCACTCCTTCCCGAATCTCCCTTCTCAGCTGATGCGCCCTGCACAAAGCAAAATCAGATCAGTCAACACACACACGCCCTGCACAAAGCAAAATCAGAGAAGTCAACACACACACGCCCTGCACAAAGCAAAAACAGAGAAGTCAACACACACGCGGCCTGCACAAAGCAAAAACATTAGTGTTAGCACACACGCGCCCTGCACAAACCAAAAACAGAGAAGTTAGCACACACGCGCCCTGCACAGAGCAAAATCAGAGGAGTCAACACTCACACGAGTGTTAGAGCCCCCTGCGCGAGCGTGCTAGGCACTAGCTTGCTAGTTGCCAGAGGCCTAGACGAGAGTCTGAGGCGCCAACACCTTAGAAACCGGCACTCTAAGCGCTAGTGCAGAAAGCGGACACTCATTTGCATAAATAGCCCCAGTTTCCCAAGCACTAGCAGAATAGATACTAGTGCCTACGCCCCATCATGCTCATGCGGTCTCTCATGCGCTCTCTCATGCGCACTCTCACTCGCACTCTCACGCGCTCTCTAGCGAGATCTCTAGGATGCTCTCTCACGCGCTCTCTCACGCGCTCTCTCATGCGCTCTCTCACGCGCCCTCTCATGCGCCCACTCACGCACTCTCTCACCCGCTCTATCAAGGCGCACTCTCAGGCGCACTCTCACGCACTCTCTCGCGCGCTCCCTCTCCAGCATTTCACACGCATTCTCTCTCTCACGTGCTTTCTCTCGCGCACTCTCACGCACATTCTCTCTCACACGCTCTCACGCGCACCCTCACAAGCTCCCTCATACGCTCTCTCACGCGCTCTCACACGCGCTCTCTCACGCACTCTCACACGCGCTCTCTCATGCGCTCACACGCGCTCTCTCACACGCTCTCTCATGCGCTGTCTCACGCGCTCTATCAAGGCGCACTCTCAGGCGCACTCTCAGGCGCACTCTCAGGCGCACTCTCACGCGCTCTCTCCCGCACTCTCACGCGCATTCTCCCTCTCACATGCTTTCTCTCGCGCACATTATCTCTCTCACACGCTCTCTCACGCGCACCCTCACACGCGCTCTCTCACGCACTCTCACACGCACTCTCACGCACTCTCACACGCGCTCTCTCACACGCTCTCTCACGCGCTCTCACGCGCATTCTCATGCGCACTCTCTCACGCGCTCTCTCACGCTTCTCACGCGCTCTCTCACACGCTCTCACGCGTTCTCTCACGCTCTCTCACGCGCCCTCTCATGCGCTCCCTCACGCGCTTTCTCTCGCGCTCTCTCAAGGCGCACTCTCAGGCACCCTCTCATGCACTGTCACGTGCGCTCTCTCTCGCGCACTCTCACCACATTCTCTCTCTCTCACGCGCTCTCTCACGTGCAATATCACATGCATTCTCTCTCTCACGCTCTCACGCGCACTCACACGCGCTCTCTCACGCACTCTCTCATGCGCTCTCACACGGGCTGTCTCATGTGCTCTCTCACGCGCTCTCTCACGCGCTCTCTCACGCGCTCTCTCACGCGCTCCTTCACGCGCTCTCTCAAACGCTCTCTCATGCGCATACGCTCTCCCTCGCGCTACATCTCTTTTGAAAGTGCCATGCAAGAGGAGAGCTATCGACACACAGAAAAGGGAAGAAGAAGACGAAGAAGAAGAAAAGAAAGAAAAAGAAAAGAAAAACAAAACAAAACGGAAATACCAGAGGGGGGAAGGGAGGATGGAAGGACCGGGAACGCACCTGATAACCACGGTGCCTGAGAAAACAACCGCGCTCGCGCACCGACCCGCGCTTGCGCTCCAACCCGCGCTTGCGCTCGTGCACCTGTCGTCGGAGGCGACGGCGGAGAGGGAAGGAGAGGCGACGGCGGGGAGTGGGGAGAGGCGACCGCGGGGAGTGGGGAGAGGCGACCGCGGGGAGTGGGGAGAGGCGACCGCGGGGAGTGGGGAGAGGCGACCGCGGGGAGGAGGGATAGGCGACGGCGAGGAGGAGGGATAGGCGACGGCGGGGAGGAGGGATAGGCGACGGCGCGGAGGAGGGATAGGCGACGGCGCGGAGGAGGGATAGGCGACGGTGGGGAGGAGGGAGAGGCGACGGCGGGGAGGAGGGAGAGGCGACGGCGGGGAGGAGGGAGAGGCGACGGCGGGGAGGAGGGAGAGGCGGCGGCGGGATAGGAGTGAGAGGCGACGGCGGGGAGGAGGGAGAGGCGACGGCGGGGAGGAGGGAGAGGCGACGGCGGGGAGGAGGGAGAGGCGGCGGCGGGATAGGAGGGAGAAGCGACGGCGGCTAGGAGGGAGAGAGGCGCGATGGCGGGGCGGGAGGGAGCGCGACGGCGGGGTGAGAGGGATAGCTAGAAGGTAGGTAAGGCGCGACTGCAGGATTGGGTGGGAATGGACAGATTTGGAGGGAGAAGCAAGAAGCAAGAACCAAGAAGCAAGAAGAACCAAGAACCAAGGAATCACTCAGCGGAATTGGGTCGACAAGCCTGTCGACCTGTGTCGACCTGACGACCTGCTGCCCCGGGCAGCAAAAAAACTAAACCCCCATCGGATGGCATGCCATCCGAGGGAGCCTCAACCCTAAACACCATGCCTCCAGGCGTTTAGGGTTGAGGCTCCCTGACCGGATGCATGCCCGTCTGGGGTTTATTTTTTTTGCCCCCGGGCAGCGAGCTCCGTCGGGCGTCGACCTGATTCCGCTGAGTTTTTTTCGGCGAAACAAGAAACAAGAACGAAGAAGAGACGAGAGTCGAACTCGAGCAGACAGGTGTGAAAGGAAAAAAGTACAAGAGTGCAAAATGTTTTGAGCCAATTTGCTTATAACTTTGCTAAGGTGACTGTATCGTTAAGCTGTCACTATAGCTTATGATGTTCTTGAAATAATACTGTAGCCGTAGAACCACTCAAAACTCCGAGATCAATTGCAATAATTTCGTTTGTAACCTGGTAGGGCTCGCAAAAACGAGACTGGACATAAACTCGCATTGTTGAGAATGTACTCAATCCGAGATATTACAGATCAAGACAGTGCCACGTGGTTCAGTGCGCTCCAAAAACCCTCCACACAATTTTGCACTCGATGCTGACGAAGCAGAAACAAGCAGGCAGAAACAGGAAGAGAAAAACAAAGCACAAAGCAAATACCCACTATAGTAAGAAGCAAGTCCAATAGAGTAAGATGGATGTAAAAAATATCGTCTATTATAAACACAGAAAACATCGAATGTCCAAAAAGTTCTCTGTCAAATAATCTACATATCTGCTGTATTTTTAAACTAGGAATTATGAAGTTTATGTAAGAATGTGATGGTTGGCTAGCCTGCAGTGGGGTACTCTATAGCGAGTACAACCCGAATTAGGGTTTCCTATATGTACTCAACTGCTTGCTAGTGAAATTCCTCTTTGCGTGTTTCTCGTTTTCGCCTGCTATCTTGACATGCTATCAGAGCAGGTCGACCCTCCTGGGTCGATCCTGTGGGTGGTCCCGCCCGATGCTTCCGCTGCTGTCTTGTGTGTCGCGCGCCCCGTGGCGCGCGACGTTTTTTCTTCCCACCACGCGCTCGGGGCGCCTGGCGGTTTTCTGCTCGCCGCGCGCACGAATCGCGCGGCGGTTTTCTGCCCGCCGTGCGCCCCGAGGCGCGCGGCGGTTTCCTACCCCGTCGACCCGCGCGTCGCCCCCCGTCGCCCGTCGACGCGCCCTTGGGCCCCGCGCGGGCCGCGCGTGGCCCGTGCGACCTGCGCCAGGCCCGCGCGCGGCCCGTACGGGCTGCGCCAGGCCCGCGCGCGGCCCGTACGGGCTGCGCCAGGCCCGCGCGCGGCCCGTACAGCCTGCGCGCGGCCCGTACGGCCTGCGCCAGGCCCGCGCGCGGCCCGTACGGGCTGCGCCAGGCCCGCGCGCGGCCCGTACGGGCTGCGCCAGGTCCGCGCGCGGCCCGGGCGGCCCGCGTGCGGTTCGTTCGGCCTGCGCACACCGTCCCCCGAGCTGCTGACCGCGCCCCACCCCTGCTGCTGCCCGCGCTCCTGTTTTAGGGTTTGGGGGTGGAGAGTATGGGGGTGCCGTGTGTGTGAGCCGTCCCCTGCTCCTCCTCCTCCTCCTCCGTCTCCCACTGCTGCAGCTACCGCTGAGGGGGGTGGATGTGTTGGAGCCGTCGGAGTGGTACGAGGGGGGTGGCGTGTGAGCGGTGCTAGTGGTTCAACAGGGAGTGTGTGAACGGGGTGTGGGACAGTTGGGGGAGGTTGACCGGAGGTAGCCGACTAGTCGTCCGCAGCGCCTGAAGTCCAGGGAGCCACGACCCCCTGTGGCCTGAGTAGTCCGGGGCTCTGCGCCCGGTAGCCACAGTGTGAGCACTCCTGGTAGTCCAGAGAGCCACGACCCCCTGTGGCCTGAGTAGTCCGGGGCTCTGCGCCCGGTAGCTACAGTGTGAGCACTCCTGGGAGCACAGCGAGCCAGCTGCGTCTGTCGCCGTGTAGTCCGGGTTTAGCCTGGTAGCGACAGTACTACGCACTCCTGCTGCCAGTGTGTCTGCAGCTTCAGCCGTCGCCTCCCATCTTCTCGCCCCCACAGTTTCTCCTCCTCCTCACTTGCTCTCTGTGCTAGCCGCTAGCTTTGCTTATAATTGTGAACTACTGCTCTGCCTGCTTGTTGTATTGATTGTACCCCACTTTGACTATGGGGGTGTGTCAGAATGTGATGGTTGGCTAGCCTGCAGTGGGGTACTCTATAGCGAGTACAACCCAAATTAGGGTTTCCTATATGTACTCAACTGCTTGCTAGTGAAATTCCTCTTTGCGTGTTTCTCATTTTCGCCTGCTATCTTGACAGTTTATCCTATTTTACCAAATAAAACCAACAGTGTAATTTGATTTACATCACTAATTTTTAGTATTCTCCATCATAATGTTTCTTGTATGAGGATACAACTCTACGCAACCCATCCGACGTAAACGTCGAATCTTGTTTTTTAAATTGAAAACGATGGCATCAGCATCGCGACCGCATATGGAAACGGGGGCAGAACTGTCAAACATTGTATGTTTATATTGTGTAGGCTATAGTGGGTTTAGCCTTAGAGGGTACACAAACTTAGGGTTTCATACTTGTACCCACCTTCCTGCTAGTTCATTCATTCTCGTTCTCTTCCAGATTCTAACATGGTATCACGAGCCTAGGTTGCTACCTAGGACCGCTTTCTACAATGGGCCCACTATTCCGCTAGAAGCGCCCTCGTGCGCCCTACCTTACGTGCGCCCTCGTGCGCCCTCGTGCGCTCTACCTTACGTGCGCCCTCGTGCGCCTTTCTCTGCTAGTGCGCCTTCGTGCGCCCTCGTGCGCCCTCGTACGCCCTCGTGCGCTCTCGAGCCGCCCCTGCAGGTCCGTCAGGCCCCCGAGCCGCCGCTGCAGGCCCGTCAGGCCCGAGAGCCTCCCGTGCACACCCGTCAGGCCCGCGCGCAGCCTCTGCACGACCGCGCGCCGCCCCTGCAGGCTCTCGCCTGCCCGCGGCGTCGTCGCCTGCCCGCGGCGTCGTCGCCTGCCCGCGGCGTCGTCGCCTGCCCGCGGCGTCGTCGCCTGCCCGCGGCGTCGTCGCCTGCTCGCGGCGTCGTCGCCTGCCCGCGGCGTCGTCGCCTACCCACAACATCATCCCCTGCCCGCGGCGTCGGCGCCTGCCCGCGGCGTCGTCGCCTGCCCGCGGCGTCGTCGCCTACCCGCGGCGTCGCCACCTGCTAGCGGCGTCGCCCTACTCGCGGCGTCGCCACCTGCCCGCCGCGTCGCCCTGCCCGCGGCGTCGCCACCTGCCCGCCGCGTCGCCCTGCCCGCGGCGTCGCCACCTGCCCGCCGCGTCGCCACCTGCCCGCCGCGTCGCCCTTCTCGCCGCGTCGCCCTGACCTAATCCGCCTCTCGCCCCTGGAGCAGCCGCCACTGCAGTAGCAGCCCCTGGAGCCGCCCGCCACTGCAGCAGCCGCCCCTGGAGCCGCTCGCCACTGCAGCAGCCGCCCCTGGAGCCGCCCGCCACTGCAGCAGCCCCCTCTGGAGCAGCACGCACCTGCAGCAGCCGCCCCTGGAGCAGCCCGCACCTGCAGCAGCCGCCCCTGGCCCCTGGAGCAGCCGCCACTGCAGCAGCCGCCCCTGGCACCTGGAGCAGCTGCCGTCGCGGCCCGGCCTCGCCCTGCAGCAGCTGCCGCGGAGCTCCCTGCTGCGGCCCGGCCCAGCCCTGCAGTTGTAGCGGCCCCGCTGTCGCCACCGTCTTGCGCCTGCCGCGCCGACCACTGGTGAGCATTGCCCAGCACTGCTACCGCTGCTACTGCTGCTACTGCCTTTTCTACTCCCACTGCCACTGCTCCTGCTGTTACTGCTGTTACTGCCGCTACTGCTACTACTGCTGCTCCTGGCGTGGCCAGATGCAGCTCCAGGGCCGTGCGCGTGAGTCCCTCACGCCCCAGCAGCTTCGTGCGCGTGAGTGGTACGCTAGTTGGGGCTGTCGGGGTGGCCGTAGTGGTAGTCGCTCTGGAGTGCGTCGGTAGGGAGCTTCTGGTAGTGGACAGGTGCAGCTGCCGTGTCCTCTTTCACCCCAGCAGCTTCGTGCGCATGAGTGGTACG